TCTTTTTTTATAAAAGCAGAAAAGCAAAACTAATAATTTCGTGTTTTAAGTATATAGGTTTATATTGAAATTGTTGCTTTGGGGTTCTGGAATGAAAAAAAACAACACTTATTTCATTGCTTCTTCGATAGATTGCAGCATGCTTGCTGCTGATAAATGTGAATAATTTACATTCTACATGATCTTATAATTATATTCGCATATGCATTAATTACTTCTATTGGTAAACAAAAGTGTTGCAAAGTTTATATCAATATTAAATATAATATTAAGCTTATATAAACGCGCTTAAAAAAAGAATCAAATATACATTATTTAGTAAAGAACAAGTAAGGTAAATATATAATATCTATATAAATATATATATATATATATATATATATATATATATATATTAGAGCCACATAAAAAAATGTGTATGATTAGTATATATACTCGCCACTCCGATGAAGCAAACATATTACATTTTAATAATATGTAGCACTTGAATGAAATTTAAAATTAATTACGATGTTTCATCTCTCTGGTGCAAAAAATCCTAATTAATTTCAATTTGTTAATTCGATTGTTGATCTACCAGGTACTTTGTAATAAACAGGACTCGGGCAATCATCATTGCTTATGCCTGAAGGGTAACACAAAAGCATCATACACACACACACTCTCTCTCTCTCTCTCTCTCTCTCTCTCTCTCGCCGCACATTTTTATTTGCAATCAATGTGCTTAGATTAAAAGCCTAACGCCTAGCTCCTAACGCGCCGCTTTAACGCTGTCAATAAGCAATAGTAACACATTCAAGTCCAGCTATATAATAAGATTACATTATACTTTATAATGATACATGATACGACATAAACGCTCCGCTGAATTCTATTATCGACATATATATATTATATATATCATATATAATATATCAGTGCGTTTTAACGTGTCAATTATATACATATATATACTTCACAGTCAAATATCTCGATATCATACCCATTATATAAGGACGTCATTAAACGTCAACTTTATTTTTCACAGTCAAATATCTCGATATCATACCCAGGTAGCAAGCTGACGTCATTAAACGTCAAATGACGTCATTTTGATGCCGAATGACGTCATAAACGTCAAATGATGTCATTTTGATGCCGAATGACGTCATAAACGTCAAATGACGTCATTTTGACGTCAGCGTGCTACCTGGGTATATTGTATGTAATTTTAGAAAAAGTTTCAAATAAAAGTTGTATGGTTTCAAGAGGGACGATGATTCGACCTTGGCTAGTTGTTTGAAGGTCATCTTTAATTTTTAAGTGAAACTATATTTTTTTTACATAAATCGATTCCCCACAATATTCTGCAGAAAATGTTATAAGGGTAGAATGGTCAAAAAGTGAAGTTTATGAGATATTTTATACTTTAGTTAGTTTGACATAATCTTACATTTATGAAATTATCTCATGAAATATTTAATATCCGATGATTTTATTTCGATAAATTTTATGCACAAAATCATGAGAGGAATCGATTAGTGTAAACACATAGTTTTTAGGAAAAAATATGTAATTTACAATTAATAGCTACGTTTTAGATCCCTCTTGAAATCTTGAGACGACTTTTGTTTGAAACATTTTTATAAAATAAAATAATATCGAGATATTTGACTGTCAAAAATAAAATAGGACACTCTATATATGTGTATATACTATTTCTCGAATCTTGAAAAATACAATCAAGAATTTATCGGTTTCGCAAGAAAACTGATGAAAAAAAGTGTGTTGATGAAAAAAACATTTGTTCGTAACATTTCTTCTTTCGAACTGTCTTATCTACGGAATATCACAGCGTATTTTATAATATTCGATTTCGTTATTATATAAAGTTTACTTATAATATACTAAGCCAATGAAAAACGTATTCATACACACACATACACGCATATTACACACACAGAAAGTATAAAACTGATCTCAAATATATAATAATATGAATATTATATCTTTTTTCGAAAAATGAATTCCAAATAATTTATCCAGTTGAAATCGTTAAGTCAGATTCGCTCTCTCTCTCTCTCTCCTCTCCCTCCCCCCCTCTCTTCTCTCTCTTTTCCTTTTTTAACAATATTAAAGATACAAAAAAGATGAGAAAATATAAAATCCTATTGATGTAATAAAATTTTATATACTACGTGTTTGTGAATTTTTATGGAAATCTCAGCTACAAATTGCAATTTTGATGACGACAAATTATCGTATTATTCTTAGCTAATAAAGATCTCGAGGAAAGAGAAAAAGATATTCGTCTCATAATATGATAAAATTATAATAATTAGAAATAAATATTTTTTTTATTCTATATGATTATTAAACATTAAACATTTTCATTATGTTTTGCCTTATGTTTAGCCTTGTTAAACTCTTAATATTTTCATTATGTTTTGTTCATAAATAAATATAATCTCGTATATTATAAAGTATTAAAATTTCGCGATCAGTTTCTGATTTTTACAACCGAGTACTTTTATTTTTTTAACATAAGATATATCTCATTCCCTAATTGAAAAAATAGAAATTCTTATTAACGGATGTATTTTCAAAGATTTTCAATTCTAAGAAAATCAGTGGAAAGAATCATATTTCAAGTTTTCTTTCATTTTCTCCTTTTTTCACTCTAAATAATTTTAAAATTTATTAATAATAATAGATAATAAAATGTTTGAACTTTATTTCATATAATTGCAATTAATTAATTTTAGATCAAATTCACATTTTAGTTACTCTTTGATTTCTAGTGTTTATCACTTTTCTTGCTCTACTTTTCAATTTGGCATCAATTTTTATGATTATATATATAATTAATTATAAAGAATTGGATTATTTAATCGACAATTATTTGATAAGAGAAAGATTCAGATTCAATCATTCCTGGTCTAATCAGATGAAATATAATTAAGTAAAATATTGAGAAGAAAAATTGAAGATTTCCTTTGGAAGTAAAATCATTAAAGATATTCTCAATAAAAGGCTAATCCAAAAATAAGAACAAGAGAATCAAAGAGTAATTAATACGAGAAAAATTCAATTACAATTTCAATGTATGTATTCGCTGTGAAAAAACTTTGCTTTCTTGTTATAAAAATCCACATGATTCAGTTGTCCACCCATACAGCAATAAAAATTTGCGAGATAAAGATGTTAAAATCATCTTGTTCCAAAAAGCAAAAATTTATCGCAATATTTTCTTACAAATATATTATCAGTTTATTATAATAAATATTATAATAAATATATCTCTGAAATATATTCTGATACAGGATGTTCTCAGAAAAGGGGAAGGGGGGATACCTTAATGTCTTAAGAGGATATCTAAAGATAAGAAATGTGTAAAAATAATAAAGAGAAAATCCGTGCAACATCCCCGAGAATATTTTAGACGTTATATAGTAAAAATATACCTATATATATCATTATAATATGCATAATATTGGCAGTGGTTACATTATAGCATATTTAAAAAATATACTTTAGATATCTTGTGATTTCTCCTTCTCTCTTTCTCTCTCTCTCTCACTCTTGCTCTTAAAAATATTACGATTTTCCAAGATATGTTAATGTGAAATCTCGCAGATCTTTTTCTTTTACTGTGTGGGTAGCCAAGCAAATCACAGGTTCGCCAGTTTTCTATTTCAAAACACTGTGAATGTAAAACCGACATATCAGTTCTCCATAAAATATTCTAAAATAATCCGTAAATTATTGATTGAAAAATGGAAGTAAAATAATGCTTTATGCAGTCTTACCATGTTGTCTGTAAGTTAATTATTGCAAGGATCGATAAAAGATTTACATATCTAATGCTTTTTTCATTTATGTTTTTCAAAGAGAGAAAAATTTATATGTACAAAATATAATACCGTGATATAATTTGGTACATAGACAGTTCTAATTTCATATTTTACTTGTTGATTACCTTGCAATTATTTGTAGTACCTTGTTTATATCGTGTCTTGTAATATTTTTTAATTTGAAAAAAATTAATATTGATTCAACATATATGAACATATTTTCAATGCGCCAAAAAGGCACTAAAAATATAAAATGTAGCATAGGATTCACATTTGTTAAGATAATTATGAAATACTAACTAACAATCATTGGCGTAGGATCAGAGGAAAGATTAATAACACAGTTCAATAAAAAAAATCTCAAAATTATTCCTTATATTTTTCTTGACGTTCGATACGAGATTTTGAACTGAGAAATATTCATTGTTATTATTTTTAAAAATTTGAGATGTTGTAAAGGACTTTAATATATTAGTTATGATGAAAACAAGCTAAAAATTTTTCACTTTGTTCGAAAATCCAAATATCTTGCTAGATAGATCAATTCTTAAAAAGAATCGTTGTGAAAAAGTTAACGAGAGTTTCATAATCATGTCATACATCGCAAATATTGAGTATATAATAATAGCACATTTTGTAGCCATCATATTGAATCTATTACTTTAAATTCGTTAATTTTTGTAATTTGTTGCAAAATGTACACACATACATATACAGTATTAAAATATAAAAGATCTCTACATATAAATTTCGATAAAATTAGAAAATTATCTAATTTTAACATTCGCTAAATTAATTTCGCTATTTTGGATTTGTTCATTTTGACATTATATTTAATGACGTGAAAAAATCTGCAAATTCAAATAAAAAATATTCGATGAATTGTGCATCTTCGATTGATAGCTCAAATTCAATCTACGTCTAAATATAAAATTTAATCATTTATGAAAATCTCATTAACATTAATCCTTGCACAAATTCTTCTCAAAAACTGTGATACCTTTTACATTTTAATTTTAAAATTATGATAAAATAGAATTTTTAAGGCTGAAATTGCATTCCGAAAAGAAAAGTTACAGGGAATAATTATTTTTTACTTGGTTTAGAAAAAAATTTTTGTTGAACTGTAATTATTCAATCAAATAGTAAAACATAAGAAAGATGAGATATATATATATATGCTTGTCTTTTTCTTTTACTATTATTTAACATTCCTCATTGATATGAACAATAGTTAAAAAAGTATTTGCACGCTCCAGATTTCTGGCATAATTTATTATAAAAGAGAAATACTCTTGTAAACTATTTTATTAGATAAAGCTTTATTCGAAACAATAAAAAATTAAAGAATTCATTAAAAAGTCAATAGTTTGCAAGATAATTTTTCTTGACATATTAAAACAAATTCGTAAAATATTCTATAAACTTTAGTAAAATAATAATAATAATCATTGTGCTTCTCCGATTGACAGTCCCTTAGTTCAAATCTGCCTATTTTCAAATGAGAAGATACTTAACCGAGATACTGCTTATCTATTCAGATCTCAGGAAGGCCTAGCCCGATATTCAAAATAAATATAGAATATTTAATATATATTAACAATATTTATATATAGTAACAATATTGGATATATATATTATCTGTATATATCCAACAAACAAAATTTTGGCAATAATTTTGCAAGTAACGCGTTTATTCCGAGAAAACGGAGCGTGCAGATATTTATTTTATCCACTGTATAACAAAATTATGATACAAAACTTGGTGGTTGTGTCATTGAATTAAAACTATAATAATAATAATGTATAGACGCGCTAACTACATGCTAGACTCCTTGGTAGTAATAATCTCGTTGGTATTATCAACTCGAATCAAAGGAGATGAATTTAATACAAGAGTCCTACTGAGAGTAGCAACTCGTTCTACTACGCACGAAGCGGAAAGGCGTGCTTCGGCATCGTGATCCCAACATTCTTCCATTGTATCACAAATTGATAAAAGTCCCTGAAATAACACACATTTCATTGTACCCATCTATATATTTTTTTCAACTTTATAACACGTTTTTTATAGATAAAATTATTCCTTATGGCTCTTGGTTTCTTGCCGACAATATTGGAACTGTGACATCACAGAGGCGAGAAAATACACGCTAAAAATTCTTAAATGCCAGCACTTCAGATGATCTTAGCATACGCTTAAAAGAATAGTTTTAGAGGTATTTTAAAAGTGTGCTTAAGCCATCTATCTTTCCATTTAAAAATGGCATCTAAGAATTTTCAGTGTTTTCTCGCCTCTGACGTCATAATCTGACATAACCGCAGCGAGAAGCCAGAAGAGCCTTATCAAGAAAAAAGTTTTTCATTTCTGACAGCTTTTATAGATATAAATGTATAAAAAAAAAAACACAAGCTTCTATAAGAAATATCTGAAAAGTCACGGTATTCGAAAGTATATTTTGCAACTAATTTTTTAACTTTTGATACTATTTTATTTTAATATTAAAGTAGATTGTCTCATGATATACATTATTTCATGCTGTTAAAAAATTTTTACGAGTCTTTAAAAAAGATTTAAAAAGAAAAAAGATTTTTGTTGCATAGAATGGCCCCTAATGTGTATTTCATACGCATCAACATAGAATTTCTTCATTATTTCTTAAATAATAATTTGAAAAAAATAGATATTTATCGTTTCTCTGTATTTTTACTTACTGGATGTTTATGCCAAGTTTCTAAAATGATCGGTCTTTCTTTTTATGAACAACGCTTTCTTGCATATCTTCTAGAGTAGGATGAAGGCCGACTTCGTCCTCAAATGGTAGTCGATATTCTCCTATTGGTCCCTAATATCGAAATAAAAACAATTTAACGATTATAAAATAATATTACATAATCTATGTACTAAAGATTTTAAGTACATATTATTTTGATCACTTTAATTAAATAATTTCAATAAATTTCGAATTATATCGTGTTTTGCAATTAGTTTTATATCAGATATTATAAATAATAATTATATAATAATAGATATAATAAATTCAAAGAATTTCGACAGATTTGATTTTTCGAATATTAAAATACGATTATGTAAATAATCAAATATTTGAGGAATTACATAAGCGTAAACCAAAGAGCTAAATTTATAGTTAATTATTGCAATTGATTCTCCAGTATTCCAACTTTACTTTTAAACACTTCCAATTAAGCAAAACTACATTATCTTTATAAGATACATATTGCATGTAATATATAATACATACATCTTGTACGGTACATCTTGAAGCTAATTCCCAAAGCACTAGCCCACAAGCATACATATCAATCCGTAGAAATGAATCTCTAGTAAAATTTATTGCCCCTTCTAAAACTTCTGGTGCCATATATCTTCGTGTTCCAACCTGTAAAAAATTGTTATTTTTCATCAGTTATTATATTGTTATTATAATATAAAAAAAGAAATGCGCTGATATATGTGCATTACCTGTCCATGTGTATCGCCACAAGGTTTTCCTGGGAGAAAAATAAGCGCCAAGCCAAAGTCCGCTATGCAGGCACTCATGTCAGCCTTCAGTAAAACATTTTTTGACTTAAAATCTCTATGAGCTACAGCTGGTTTGTAATCATCCGCTTTGTTAGCCGGGATTTCTTCGTGTAAATGCATCAAACCTCTAATAATAATAATAATTTTATTAAGATTTGAATAAAAAATTGTAGTACAAAAGTATTTTATATTCTCAACAAATTGTCATACTGCTATTACAGGATGTCTACTCAAATTCTGTAAAAAAAAAAAAAAAAAATCCCTGAGAATTCCCTGATAAAAAAAAATATAAAACAAAAAGATAAAAATAAAAACAAAAAATAATTTATTATAAATACATCTCAAAGAACACTAATTTTTATTATAATTAATTATTTATTAAATAAATAGCGAGTACTAATCTTATTTAAACAATTTTCTATGAAATTCATAATTTAATAAGATCCTGATGCTAAAAATAGATTGTCAATAAAAAAAATCACATAAAATTTTTATAAAAACTTAAATATTGTCAAGATATGTTAGACATGTTTCTTGAGTGCTAAATCAGAATAAAATTAATTAAAAAAAATTTTTTTTTTTAATTCCTTGAATTCCAATAAAACTCCATGAACATTTCCCAATTTTTTTCACAAACTTCCCAAATTTTTTGAACAAAATTCCCTCAGAATACTAGATTTTCAAGGTTTTTCCTAGAAGTGTATACCCTGTACCATATTATGAATTCTAATGATTACCTTGCCATGGATTCTGCAATTTTACACATCTCAGACCATGATACAACATTTGCTTTCAGGTAATCACACAGTGAACCTTTCTCATGATATGCTGTGATTAACCAAAACTCAGCTTGTAAATTGTCTCCGCGCTTTTCGACACCTATAAAATGTAGTATGTCCTCGTGATCCATATGTTCAAGCTTAAAAATCTCTTGTTCAGTCTGCCAAGACTGCTTGTCTTGAATAGGAAAAACTTTAACTGCTACAATCTCATTTTTCAATTGAGCTTTCCAAACTGCTCCGAAACGTCCTCGAGCTTTAATCTCAAGAAGCTGTATCGGACGTAAACTTAAATTAGGTGACGATTGTGGCAACGGAAGTGGTTCCAAAGTTGGCACCTAAGATATATATTTAATTAATCTCTTAAATTAAAAATAACGTAATTTACTATAATTACTAATTTTATAACAATCTCAAGATATACCAACCTCGTTAAAGTACGTCAATCTTCGACGACGGCAGAACCACCACAAAGAAAGTGAACCGAATGTAAGAAGCATAGGGATTAGTATCAATAATGTGAGTGTTATTGCTTGCTTCTCTGTATTGCATATATCATCAGATTCTAAAAAAATTATTGTTAAATGTTATTATAAAAACATTGAGACAAATTTATTAATTACCTTCAAGTAAAGATAAATGTTGGATATAACACATGATAATATAAAATATAATATACCATTAACAGATGGTTGTGTAGGTTTTGAGGATGTAGTCGGATGTGGATTCCAAGAAAAGTTTTGGTTGCACATATCACTATCGCAACAACAAAAAAATAAATCATTCTTTCGTTCTCGATGCTCCTCTATGCAATTCGTCTTGTTATAACAATCATTGCTATCCAAAAAGCAACCCTAAAAATTTGATATATGTATAAATAGAGAGTACAATTCAACAGTAAAAGAACCAAAATACATAATTATTAATTTTATAAAAACAAAAAAATAGACAACATATTTTAAATTTTCTATTTTAAAGATGTAACAAATTAGATATTTTTGATTAATTTTAAATGTACATATATTCTATAAATATAAACAATTTATATATCAAAGATGTATCTCGTAAAAATAATTTTAAAAAATTCACACAATTACAATTTAAAAATTCGAGTATAATATATTGTATTATTTAAATTATTCAAGTTAAAATTACAAATGTTACAAATTTAATTTGATATTACAAATATAATTTAAAGAAAAACTTGAAAATATAATTTGTAAAAAAAAATTGTCAATACATATAATACATGAATATCTTACTCTATTTGTGGCGCAATAATTTTTCCTTGAAAATCTGCCACATTTTAGACACTTTTATAGTACATAAATTATATATAATAAATTATTAATTAAAACAAACCTTCAATTTAATTACTGTCTTTTTAGTAACATTGTTGACCGACCAGAGTACGTAACAATGGTTACGTTTATCTGGATCATGCACAACACATTCTTCTCTCCCTGAACACTCCTGTTGGGATTCCGCACACATTGTTTCATTGTAAAATTCGCAGAAGGTCGAACCTTTAATAATAGTTTTCCCAAATATAGTTCCTAGAATATAATTAAATTCATTAAATTCTATTATCTGTATGTATATACTATATATCTTATCTTTATGTATTTCACATAAAACTTGATAAACCAAAGTATTAAATGTTTTTCCTGCTGTATTTATATACATGACATTAGTATAATCACTTCTTTCACCATGGATTTTTCTCAACAAGATTATTTTTAACAATTGTCAATAATTTAACTATTCTTTACACAAATGTATATCACATCAATGTTTTGATACTAATTATTAATTTAATAGTTTTCAACATTTATGTGTGTGTCAACGATTCTTAATTTTCTACAATGAATATTTTAATAATTAAAACTCAATCAAGAAAAATTAAATTTACTTAATTACATTACTCAGTATGAAAATATTGAAGAATAAAATTGTCTAATATTGATATTCTTGAAATTTAATACAGTCAAAGTTTTAACTTTAATTTATAATAAAGAAATAATTGTCTTAACACAATAGTACTTTTACATTTTAAATTTGATATATAATTGAAAAATACATAACATTAACATAGTAATGCAACAAACATATTTCCTTAAAAGCAAGAATCTTTGAGTATTTGTTTTTATAAGTATTTACACATATTTTTGTATTCCCTATGAAAGATATTGGCAGAATTCATAAATAATAGATTGTTAAAAATGGAAAAAAAATCAAGCAAGTTCAAAATAATTTAGTTTTAATAAATTATTAAAACTGAGGGATATATAAAAATATAGATACAGTATATAAATCTCTTTTTTTTAGTTTCTTATACATATATTTTTTTATTTAATATATAATTTTGAAATTTATCAAAACATTTAAACTAGAAATAAAAAAATTAAAAAAAATATCAAAGAATTTTTATGCTAACAATAAAAGAAGTAAATTAATTGCAAATTGATCAAAAAATTCTGCCAATAAATATTTTATATATATACAGAAGTATTAAAAAATTAGACCGACAAACTTTGAAGAGAAAAAGAAAATTTCAAAATGAACATTTTTGTCAATATTATTTTTCTCTAACTTTCTCAACATTTTTAATACTACATAATATAAGTTTGTGATTTTTCAGTTTGTCATCATCGCATTGAAGTTAATAGAAGAATTTTTAAGCATTTACTGTATTCGTGATTTGTTCAAAATTAAAACATAATTTAATTTTTCCACTTATATATTTGTTTATTGTTTAATTGTAAGTCGTAAATTCCTATTTCATACAATGTGATATAAAATTAAAATAAATATAGATATAAATATATATATATATATATAAAGTTTACAATTGAAAGGATCAAATCCAGCATTAGCTGTTTGAAAAAACCTGATAAATAAGCAATGAGTTTCTGATTGTGCTTTTGCTATACATGTGTGTACATTTTTTTTGCATACGTGTGCATATATAGGATATATATAAATATAAAAATACATATATATATTACCGAATAACCCTAAGAAGAAGAGAGGCAGTATCGTCGTATATACGAACATCGTGAACGAATCGTAAAAGCATACCAGTAATTTTGAGTCTATTAGCTATTAAGCAAATTGTAGTAATTTATCCACCGACACATCTCTCTTCCTTTCTCGCTCTCTCTCTCTCTCTCTCTTTCTCTACTCGCGTCTCTCTTTCTCTCTCTCTCCTCTCAGTTTTCTTCTCACTTCCACCTTTATATGGAAATACGCGCCGCGGCACAGATAATCCTGCTCATTTTCGTCGTCAAATCATCGTCGCGATTCTTCGTAACCTCCGAGCGAAAGAGACATGCTTTTTCTCTCTTTTATTTATTTATTTATTTATTTTTGTTTTTTTCGGCGCGTTACACAACTGCGCTGACGATAAAATTAACTCGCACGCGAGATCTCCCAGTTAAATCACGCGAGAGAGGAGATAAATTTGTATATATTTTCGGTATCGCGGAGAGAGAGAAAAAACCACACACATACACACAAATTTTTGGCGACACGAAATTTGAGAGACGATTGACACTTCTTACACACGAATTGTGCGCACTTTATCGTCGACACGAGAATGTATTAATACGGCGAGACATAATAATAATATCGCGAGAACAAGATCCGACGAATAGAAGACATTTGATGTCTAAAGTCACGGTCTGCTTCTACATAATATGGCTGTCTAGCGATTTTCCTTCCCTTCGGTCATCGACTGAGCGATATTCGGAGCTGTCAAACTTCCCATATGATTTCGGACGCTCGAGGCGCCACCTGGTGGCGCCTCGGGGAGAAGCGACAATTCGATTTCGATCGATTCGATTCGCGACCGCCGCCGCCATCAGTCTTCGAGAAAAGGGATCAAATATAAAAAATAAAAATCAAATTGAACATTTTTTTTTACTTTTGATAATTAAGCGAAACTTAATTATATAACTGAAATCGATATTATATCCCAAGTGGCAGAAAATGACATACGCTTTTATTGTTATCTTGGGATGTCAATTTTTATATAAAAAATAATATTTTGTTTTTAATAAATATATATAATTTTTTATGCAAAAATTAAAAATATTTTACATATATTTTATTTAAAAAAAATTATTTAAATTCTAAAATTGTAGTATATATCAAATATATTACTTTTTCTCTTCCTTTTTCCTTCTTTTTCAGATATAATATATATATATATATATATATATATATTAAAAATAATATATAAATATATATTTATTAAAAATAAAAAATATATTTTTTATATAAAAAAAAATATATACATATATTTTTCATATAAAATACATATATCTTTAAATATAAAAAAAGAGAAAAAGTAATATACTTTATATACAGTACAACTTTAAAATATAAATAATTTTAAGTTTTCACATCTAATTAACATTTGTTGGATCGTTAAATTATATATTGATATTTTATACCTATAGAATATCTCATCACAAATAAGACAAATAATGTAACAGACTGTATGTGTGTGTGTGTATATATATCTTTCTTGGATCTCTAAGTTTCATATTAATATTTTACATAAAACTTCTAATACCTCCATCAGATAAGAAATAATGTTGCAGCTACACATATTTATACAGTTATGTAAATATATATACAGGCTTTTATTTATTTATATACAAAAAAAATAGTTACATATATACAATTAGGTAAAATTTAAATAATAACTTTCTAGAAGTCTTTATATTTAATTAACATTGTTAGATCGCTAAATTACGTACTAATATTTTATATAGAACATCCTATTTTTATCAAATAAGATTGCAAATATCGCAGACTGCACATATAGGGTGTCCCATAGGAAATTGCTGAAATTAATCAGCTATCATTCTTTAACGCACATGCAATTACTTTTTTCAATAAAATAAATCGGTATACAAATATTTTATTTATATCCATTAAAAACTATAGACTTCTCTTTTCAACACAATTTTGGTTTTCTCAATAACTGCATGCATTAAAAAATAACAGCTGATTCGTTTCAGCAATTTCCTATGGGACACTCTAATAAAAATATATGTATAGCATTAATTTAATTCTAATTTTAAGGACAACTCGGTCATTCTCAACATCATCTTCAAAGAAAATGAGCCATCGGATCCTCGTCGCGTTTGCGCTTCATCTGATAAGCCTCTATCTCCTCAGCCGTCAGCTCCTTCGTCTCGTACATGCTGTTGTAAGGACGTTTCCTCTCGCTCATCCTCAACAGATCGTCCGCCTTCCTCGCGTTCTCCTCCTCCCTCCTCAGCGCCTCCTTCAGCTTGTCCTCGTCTTGCTTCTTACTCTTGCGATTCTCCTTCCGCTTCCGCTTCTTCAACTTTCGCTTAGCCGCCTTGCTCTGTCTCTCCGTCTTGCTCTTCGTATCCTCGTCCTCGGACGAGGAAGCTGCTGAACTGCTCGAGGAACGAGGATCCTCGTTCACCATCCCGTCATCCGGTTTACCTTCCGCCTCCTCTTCCGGTTCGCTTCTCGCTGATGGTACTCTATACTCCGATCTCGAAGCGACGTCGCTTATCGCCTCCGCGGCTTTCCTCCCGGACTCGCCTGTGCAATAAGAATTCTTAATAAAGGAGTAGCAACACTTGTAGCCCCATTTACCGTCCTGCCAGTAGGAACCCCAGACCAAGGTGTGATTGTTGGGATAAATGTCCTCCTCGTACTTGGACCGTATCACCTGTCTGTCTTGACCCTTGATTATTTTCCCGTATCTCGAGTATTCGACGTAGTGCTCGGTCTGCGCCAACAATAAAGGCTTGGGTGGCGCCTTCAGGTGCTCGTCACCACCGTAACGCTCGATTATGCTATCGCGAGCCTTGTCCTTCAGCTCGTCTCGCTTCTTGTCATACTCCTGCTTCAGCAGTTCCAGCTTTGTCGGCTCTGCCAGCAGATGCACGTCGACTCCCTTCTCGTGGGCCTCCCAAGCAAACAGCTGCGCGTTGGCGTGCTGCTGGGTGTCCCCAGAGAAGCGTACAAAATTCTCGCCCTTGTAATCCACCTCTCTCTCCGTCCCGACATAGGGATTATCGCGCATAGATCTGGTCTTGGGATCGTAGTACGCCGAGTTCGGGTCCAGATTGCGCAGATACTTGGCGGTGTCCTCTCGAATCCGCAGATTCCTCACGGTGATGCGCTGTTTAGAGTCCACCTTGGTCCCAGGCATGTCCACCTCATCCACATATTTATCCTCATCCTTGTCAGAGTCCTGCTCGTCGTTCTCCTCTTCCTGATCGAGCTTGTCAGCGCGCATCTGCCTCTTGGCCTCCTCTATCTTCTGATACTCCTCCACTATCGCTCTGTGCTCCGAAGGGTCGTAACCAGCCCATCGGTCCCTCTTTCCATCGTAATCCATGGACAGTTCCGGCTGGGTGAACTCGTCCGGGGCTATCCTAGCGTTCGTGAACTTGGCGCCGACCTTGCGCGGCCTCTCCATGCAATCCTTCCTCTTGTGGGTCAGCGCACCGCAGTTCTCGCAGGCGCCCTTCCGGTATTTCGTGGCCACCTGGTTGGCGTCGACCCCGCGATTGTACCAGGAGTCGATCGAGCTGTACTGCTTCTGCTTCTCCGGCTGCGGACGCTGGTGCTTCAGGTGGGTCCCTGGGAGCCGAAGTACCACGGGGTCGCGCTGATGTACTGCGGAATGTGCGGGTTGATATCCTTGCCCTCCTCGTCGACGGCGGCCGGGGCGGTTCCCGCCTTCCTCGCCTCTTCCAACTCCTTCGCCTTCCGCCAGTCCTCCCGGCTCTTCTTCCGCGGCTCATCCTCGAACGAGCTCTTGTTCTTCAGGATGCTCGACACCGTCACGTTCGCCGACGAATTCGCCATCCCGGGGAATCCTGGGAACTCTCTCTCTCTTTATCTAGAAATATCTTCGTTTCGAGGAAAACGCATTAGTTTAATTATTATGTGCTTGCTTTTTTTTTATTTATTTAATTATTTATTTACGTACTTACTTATTTATTTACGTTCTTCTCTATTGAGGTTATATCTCGAGACCCTCACCATTGAGCGAAGAAACGTGAAGATGCTCCGGATTGGTCGATCATTGCTTTCACAGTGACTTCTGACATCTATATAACGCGCGTAGTCTATGTTGATTATGTTGATTGGCTGACGGAGCGAGGATTTCTAGTTACTTTCTAGAGAGTTTCTTGCAGCTAATCACAATTTGTCATATGACAGATAAAATATTATTATTTTTAATATTATTATTAATAAATATTAATTGTTATTATATTATTTGTTATTATATTACTATTATTATTATTATTATTATTATTATTGCAATTATTACTATTATTATTATTATTATTATTTCTATTACTATTTTATTATTGCTATTGCTATTATTATTATTATTATTATTATTGCTATTATTATTCTACTATTATTGCTATTACTATATTATCATTATTGCTATTATTATTATAATATTTCTTACTACTTTTATTTATAATAATGAATTATTAATAAATCTCAAAACACATTTTTTATATCGATAATTTTAATTTACTCGAATGCAAATCGGCTGTCAAATTGAAAAAAGTAAAAATTTAAAGTTTTTTGTCCTGATTGATTAATTATAATTGACGTCAAAATAATAGAAATATATTTTTCTTTTACAATTATTTTATTTTTAAATTTATCTAATATATGTAAAATGAGAATAATATTTACTTTTTAACAATAATAAAAAATGTTTTTATCAACTATCCAGAGCTTTTTAAGTTATTGCAACATGTGTCGCAAGCATATAGAACTGTGCGAGATCGCCATTTTGTTTGTTTACCAAGTATTATTTACCTTTACCTTCACCACATATGTGATATTAAAAAGCTCTAATTGTCATCATCGATCGTTAATATTTATAATATCTCGCACAAGGTGAAGATAATCCAACATGTAATTATTTGACGTATTCGAAGACGATAGTCTTGCAGTGCTTGACATCAAATGATATGTCAAATATTATAATTGTATTATAAGACAGTGCATATAATAATTGCGCATATATATTTTTGCACTTTTATATAATTTTTGTTTGCAAGAAAAGAGGAGAAAATGTGGATTTACTTTGTACTCGCCTTGTTTGGCGTGTTCGATTTTGCGATGGCTTCCGGTAATTTCGATTTTGGAGACACCCTGGCATTAATCCTGGGATTAACATTTGGGATAATTGCATTTTTTGCTTGCATGGGAGCTTATGCGAGGAGACGAAGTCACTTTGAAACCTTGTAATCTTTTTTTAAATACACATTTAATACGGTAAGTAACGCACAACTGAATATATGTAAATATTTCTGGCTTTTGTAACATCTTACATTATGTTAAAATCAAGCTACGATGTGATATATCAAATTATAGAATTTATACACAAGAAAGAAATATAACATTTGAACACTCACATATATAATATATTGAATAATATATTAAATATATATATCACATGTATTTTTTTATTTAATAAATTATATAATATATTAAATTCTATTTTATTAAAAAAAAACTACACTACTTGTGCTGAAAACTTATACTAATTCATATTTTCCATAACAATGTAGTTCTTTGTTTGTATTCATTTAAATAGTATTATTTAAAGTATAGTGTTTTTAAAATAGCACTTTAAAATGTACTTGTTTAATTATTTGTTATAGATAAACATTGCTATCAAATTGTATAATTACGGACTGAAGGAAATATGATTTATAAGAGATATATGATAAAGAAACAAAGGTATTTTAAGATTTTCCATGTAAAAGAAATAGTTTGTAGAGAGATTCTTAGAAAAGATTTGTTAAAATATGTTATAACAATTTTATAGAATTTGTGAATAATATATATTGTGTATACTTCTGTTATAATAAAGAAAGCAAATGATAAATTGTTCTATTTAAATGATATTGCATGTAAGAAAATATTAATCTATACTGCATGTCAATTTATTTATTTATTTCACTTCATTAAGTTTACAATTGTTGCTAGTGATTTTAATATTTTATGTCTTTTTGTAATAATAGCTATTAGTAAAACTTCAGCCTGTTTTACAATATTGTAGTAAAGACATAAATGATTAAATGTTTTTTGTCTCAATAAAAATAGCGATACTGTCAAATAGAATTTATTGAAAAAAAAGATTGACGAATTCCTTTAATGTACACATTTAATTGCTTAATTAATGATTATTCATTGTAGTTTTTGCAATATTTCTTTACGTTTATGAAATCACATTATATATATTCTTAGTTTAAGATTTTACATTTTTTTTCATTGCAAGTAGAAATAGAGTTTGGAAAAACTAAATTCTTAATTTAACAGATAATATAATGGAACGTTATTATAAATGTTATGCAAATACATATTGATATACATTTCGAGTCTCTGTGAGAAAGAAATATATCTTTCTCTTTCGCTGCTAAATATATATATATATATATATATATATATATATATATATTTCTTTCAAATATTGGATAGTTATATTCCATCTGTTTTTTGTTCTTCAGTAGATATACAATTAATAATAATATTGATAAAGATAATATATAAGAAATATGAAAAAGAAGTTTACTATATATTTCTCATGTAAATTTAAATGTATATTAGTTTTTAAATGAAATTTTTCACATTTATACCTTGAAAATTATCAACTATTATTTTTTGTTTTACACCTAATCAGTCTTTATAAGCCTTTCCACAAGAATTGTTTGTTCAAGGTGCATTCAAAGATTTTTCAAAATATTTGATTGTTTCTTAACATGTAAAAAACTAATCGCTATTTATTTTTTATCTTGAGATTTTGAGAAACAAAAAGTTTATTAATGACAAAATTATTGTTTAGGAGTATTTACATGCAAAATAATTATATAACTATACAGTGTTTTTAAAAATACTTGCATATTTTACATATTTCGAAAAATTTGAAACCAAATTAAAATTCATAGAGATTATATACACACAAACGATAGATATGTGCTATATCTATATGTCACATAATATATATTTTTTTATCGATGAAATCAATGGCGTAACTTTATTTCATTGCGTATCCAATATTTCCTTATTTTTTACATCTGCAATATTTACAAATAAGTGAAAATTTATTCTGCTTTGTCATTCGTGATGTGTATAAATGTCACTAACAATTATTTGCCGTTTGAAATCAACATGTAGAACATATCAGCTGTACATACGAAAATGGAGAATATAAAAAATTATTGGCTATTATTTGTTTGCATCGCTCTTGAGAGCAGGGTATCCAATTAATATGTCGGCGTCAATTTAATTAAACTTTTTATCAAGTTTGATAATAAACGAATTTAATATAGTCTATATAGAGAATTTTTTGTTGCATTACTTAATATTTTTCTTTGGCAAAAAAATGAGTTTTACAATAAAGAAGCATAACAATTTCTTGTTAATTTCTTGCTGTATATGGATATAATTATAATTATTATCAAACCGCATTTATATATTTTTTGAAAATTTTTTTGAGTAATTTTCTTGAAATAAAGCGTTGTTTATTAACTACTTACTCTCCGTTTCTTATAGATGGCAACAGGATTTGACATGATAAGTAGTCATTATTAAATTACACGACTGAGATTTGTTAGACGTAATGCAACATTCATATTTAAAAAGAAGGTATTATATATATATAGCCGTTTATATCATGCAAATGAATTGGCGAGGAAATCTCGCAGTAACTAAGGATCCAGTTGATCCAGTATATCTATTAAACTTATATCCTATGCGTAATGATGACCATTAGACGAGTAAATATTTATCGTTTCTCCGTTGATAATTATTATACAAGAAAATAATCAAGTCTCAAGTCAGTGTAATATAATAACCCAGGTAGCAAACGCACGTCATTTTGACGTCGAATGACGTCAGTTTGCTACTTGGGAAACTATTGCAATTCCTATAAAAGAACGGACTTTAAACATAATATTGTGACATAAAAGCACCAAAAAGAAGCCTCAATATACTTAAAGGAAAATTTAATCTCAGCGCAAAGTAAGCTTCGAGCTTTTTTTAGGATAGTTATATATCGCAATAATTTAATTGAAGCATTTCTCTCTCTGATTGATAGTTTCAGCAATAAAATCGATAAGCAATTATATGTAATAATCGCGTGTGTAGTTTTGAATATTATTACGTGAATTAAAAAATCCGTAATTAAAAAAATAAAATAATTATGAATTGCAGTGTTAATTGTATAAAGTTGTTTTTAATTAAAATTATAATTAAATATTTTTCACTGCCAGAAGAGTGAAGCATGTGATAGAGATTATCAAAGAAACTAAATAGGAAGTTTTTTAATACATTGCTCTTCAAATACGTTGACAATAATGTATTGCTCAGATCGATTAGAAAGGGTAATGCTTTGAATTGCGTATCAACATTCGTCAACATGGTCTATACCAAAATGGCATGAGAAATTTCTCAAAATTACACTATATATTTACGTGTGTCAAAATAAACAGTGGTAGTTAAAAACGGCTTTACTACCGGCTTTTTAAAAGAAGACATAATCATCAATAGTAAACGAGATATAATATATATATATATATGGGTTTTGCTAACTAGTAACACATGACTTTTCTTCTTTAATTGAAATAGGCAAAATCGCTAGAAATACATTAAAGCATAACAGTGACTATATTATTCGTATTTTCTTTCTCTCGCTCGCTCGCTCTCTCTCTCTCTCTCTCTCTCTCTCTCTCTCTCTCTCTCTCTCTCTCTCTCTCTCTCTCTCTCTCTCTCTCTCTCTCTCTCTCTCTCTCTCTCTCTCTCTCTCTTTCTTTCTTTCTTTCTCCACTCTCTTTCTCACTCTCTCTGTGTCTCTTTCTCTAATTCCAATACATACATATTTGCACAATCGTATGCATACATACCGAGATATTCGTACTATAAATTCATCATCGCACATACACACATACCTTTTTTCCTCTCTCTTCCCGTCTCTTAAATTCTCCCTCTCTCCATCCTTCTCGTCCCTTCAATTTTTCTGACTCAATCCCTATCCGCTTATTTCTTTCGGACACATTCAAGCATACAGTAAACAGTTATACATATATATCGCGAGCAGAATGGCCATGTGTGCCATTTCGATCGTAAGACTAGCGGAGGCCTGTACTAATGAGCTGTGCTACTAAAGGAATCGGGCGATAGAATCCCTTAGCGAAGGAAGATTTTTGTCTTTTTCTTTAACGCATCTCGAAGCACAGTACACGTAAAGGCCTCTATTTCTCTCTTTCTCTCAAGTTCATGCGTTACATTCGGAAAATTTTTAGATATCGCGCTTCCTTGTCGCAATAATTAATATCTTCTTGCATAATTTCCGCTTCACTTCCGCTGCGAGGCACATATCAAAGTAAACATCATGCGAAACACTTCAGATATATAGCGAGATATTTGATATTTTGTTTAATATACGCAAGGACATCATCATACACATCGAAAAACATTGTATATATTCTTCCACTCATGTTTTTCTCTCTCTCTCTCTCTCTCTCTCTCTCTCTCTCTCTCTCTCTCTCTCTCTCTCTCTCTCTCTCTCTCTTAATCCGTCTCTTCGCACTCCGTCTTCGTAGTAATAATGTCTAGGCGACGCGAGACTCGCGCGCATTTCACAGCAAATTATATTTCTATAGATATTTTAGATCCAGGTAGCAAGCGTAACGTCATAGACGTCGAATGACATCATTTGACATCTAATGACGTTACTTTGACGTTTAATAACGTCAAGTGCTACTTAATACATTCGCGCTGATAAAAATACGAAAAACCCGCACTTAGAGACGATATCGAACGCATGAAGAAACTGAAGAAAGAACGAGCACAGATCGACAACCGGAAAAGATACAGAAGCGTGTGAGCGGAGAGTATCGCATTATTGAATATTCTCCGAGAGTGGAGCCGTCGAGCCCTCGAGAGTGGTCGAGTAATGCGGCTCCGCCGTCGGTGGCGTGTCGTTATCGCGCGAAGAAGAGGAATTTGCTAGAATCTGCTGAGAGGCGGCGGGAGTCGCCGGCTGAGTCGGAGTCGTCCCCGAGGCGGGAGGCGGCGCGTAAATCAGCCGATATCCAGCCGGCAAGAAGAAGCCACCGTGGGGCGCGCAGCTGAAGGTTTGGAAATTCGTCAGCGGCTGCTGGCCGCCCTCATGATACTGGATATAGGTCGTCCCCGTCGAGTTCGATATCGATAAGGGCGCGGGTCCGCCCGACGGAATACTCGTCCCCTCGGACGACAGTACGGGGCGAACTGGTACTGCCGCCCGAGTGCATCGGGTCGATCACCCTCGGATATATCATTCGCACAATAGTTATTCGTACCCTGCTGGGAGACCACACTTTGCATATTCTCGGAAGGCACTACTGGAATCGGGATAACGTAAGCAGGTATTCCAGCCGATGCCTGCTGCTGCGGTTGGAGCTGCAGCGGGGTCTGCTTCAACTTTTGCATGGCTAATCGCAGGGTCTCGTCCGTGTCCGGATAGTTGTTCGGGCCTTTCTGCAATGGGGTCTGCGGCGCCGGCTGAACATGAAGTAGTCCTCCGTTCCTGGAATTCTCGAACCTGTCAAACGAGAAAATCATACTTTATTAATATATAATACATGTATACATACCTAAAATATATAAAAATTTATAATATTTATATATCATTTATATATAAACACTTTATATACAGTTGTACAGGGTATCCCATAGGAAATTGCTGAACTAATCAGCTATCATTTTTTAATGCATGCAGTTATTGAGAAAACAAAAATTGTGTTCAAAAGAGGACTGCAGTTTTTAATGGATATAAATAAAATGTTTGTATATACCAGAGTTTATTTTATTAATAAAAAATAATTAAGAAATGCTAAAAATAACTGCATGCATTAAAAAATGACAGCTGATTAGTTTGATATAACGTAAAATTAAAATTAGCGTCACTGACCAGTGATATTTGTCGCAACAGTATGATAAAGTAATGGATGATGCTGATGTTGATGGAGGGCACTTGCTTGCTGCTGCTGCTGAATAAGCAATTGTAACTGATGCTGCTGGAAACGTTCCAACTCTTCCCTATGTCTTCTCTGCAATGTTTCCAATTCCAAAGTTTGCCTGCGTGCAACAAAGATATTGTTTTACATTGCAAAAAAGATGGATGCAACTTACAAGTATTATCTCTGACTTCCATTCGATGTTTCAGATATATAATATTTGATTAGTGCACCAAAGTTCATGTGTTCTTTTAAATATGTAGAAAAAATTAATTAATCGATTTTACCTTTTTATAAGCAGTTGATATTCTTCACTCGGTGTAAGAGCCATAAACCTTTCTTCTTTTTCGGGCTACAATATGTCAGATAATATGTTAGTAATATTTTTTTGTATATACCAGATTAAAATTGCTGAGCTAAAATTCTTCTGATTTTTATACATATATCTTGATAATAATAAAATAAAAATAATAATAAAAAATTGCGTGAAACTTACCTCGATACTTAAAATATTAGTACCATGAACTGCTTGTACAGTTGGCGGAACAGAATTCTCTCGGCTATGAGGTACTTGTACAGGTACACCTGTAATTAGTAAATACATGTAATGTTGCTACGTTATATATAAATGTTGAGTAAAATTTGTTACAAATATGTAAGAAATGTTTAAATATATCATATAATTAATTAGGAATATATATTATATAATTAAATTTATTTATATATTTTATATATTATTTGATATCTCTATGTGGATATAATTAATTTATTGATTTTTAACTGATTTATTATTTGTGAGAATTCAATTCTCCATTACCATGCAGATCATCTGTCTGATAAGAAGGAACCGTTTGCCTTTCTGAAGTTTTTAATTCTTCCGTTTGTTGCAACTGAGTTCTCGCAGCATCAGCAAGCTGTTGTTGATTAATTATAACATTACTATGAGGCGGACCTGCAACTTTGGAAACCACGAATCTCGATTTTCGGATAGGTTGGGCAGGATTTGCTTTCTGCAAAATTTACATTTCAATATTATTAAAAAAAGTAATATAAAGGAATAAATAAGTAAATATATATATATATATATATATATATATATATATATATATATATATATATAGTGTTTCTAAATAAATGTGAAAAGACAATTCTTTGTCGAAAATTAAGGGATGTTTTTCATATAAATATACATTCCTGTATCCCTCCCTGAGGAGTTATACTTCTTCAAAAGGGGAGATGTAAATTAAATTTCTATTTATTTTTTTTTTTTGAAAACTATTGATTTTACGGAAAACATTTCCAAAAGAATCAAGCTTTCTAATGCATATTTTTATAGATCACATTCTGGTCTCTTAAAGTTCTAATAAAAAATTTAAAAAATAAGGGTTGTTAGTTTCATTCCCTTGTATAAAAATTAAAAAATTAATTTGGCTTTTAATTTTTTTCTGAAATTTTGAACGAGTTACAAAAATTAAATTTGGTGGATATTTTCCATTAGTAAAAAGAATATTTATTACTATTTTTTGTACTCTTCAGAGAGAGAGAGAAATATATGTTTATATGAAAAGTCCCTCTTAATTTTGGGCAAAGAATCATTTCCTAAAGTTTATCGCACTTATTTAGAAACACCCTATATAAAATAATTTTTCACAATAATGACACAACTTTATTGCATTTAGAAAAATAAAGATTATGAAGGCAAATACTAATTATACACACATTGTGAATAAAGAGTAAATTTTCTAAAAGAAAATTAAATCTTAATAATAATGCATCTCTCCTAAATTTATTATATATATCTAATTTTCTTTTTATTATATATATATTTATATTACTATTCTTTTTAAATGTATGAAAATATGATTTTGATCAGTAAAACCTGTTCGATATCAAATATATAAATTATAATATATAATATACAGGGTGTCCTATTTTATTTTTATATAAATATTGAAAAAAAAATGAAAACTGTTAAGAATAAAAATGATAAGGAGAAAAAACCCAAATAACGAAAATTACCTCGTTAGCGCCATCTTGGAGTTCCGTTTGAATTGGAGTATTAGTGTCAGATCGCGGTGTTACAACATTAGGAGCGACAGTGGCTATAGATATGCAAGTCGTCACCGGAAGAGCGGTAGTTAATAAATTTTGCGCGAGCTGTTGCTGCGTTTGTATAGGTATCGGTGGCGTTAAAGGCTGCGTCGGAGCCGCCGCGAAGATAGAGCCTCTGTGATGAATCTTTGCCAATTCCTGCTCCAATTCCTGCAAACGAGATCCCGGTCTTTGAGCCCGCATCTTGACGTTCTCCTTACTAGGACTCATAGTTTCGGGCGCCGTCCCGAGAGCTCCCACTCCCGGTGTTGGACTATCGAGGGAGCATTCCACATTCTAGAAAAAAATTTTATATTAAATCTTTCCCAAGACGAGTCGAGTATATGTAAAAAAAAATCATTTTAAAAATTATTTTTCTTTCTACATTTATATTTATATATATGTATACTTTTCTCGATAATATACATTTATTTTTATATTTTATAAAAATATTTTTCTATTAAATAAATATACATATATAGATTATATAAAATATTTTAATATATTATATCATAAAAAATTAAAAATTCCTATATTATAATATTGTGTTTAACTATATTATTTATATTATTTATATTATTTATATTATTTATATTATATATAATATATATTATATATTTAATATATTTATTTATATTTTATATATATATAAAATTTAATTTATTGATATATTTTATATATTATTTAAATTGATATCTCTGTGCATATAAAACTGTAAAGAACTCACGGTTTGAGCAAACGTGCCGGCACTCTCATGGATCATAGCGGCGGCGTCGATGGCGGCATCGCCGACCTGGGCGTCGGTGAGAATGGCAGAGGAATGTATCGTCGTCTGGGGAGACAACGGGCATCCGGCGACATTCGTGGACAGGACCGGCATACCGATGTTGAAGAGCTTCTGTTGCAAGGAATGCATGTACGTGTCGCATCCTCCGACCATCTGGTGGTTGTGAGGCGTCGCGGGGTAGCTTATGGGCGGCGTGCCGACGTTCAACGCTTCCGAGGGTTGACTAGTCAATTGCACGAGTTTCTGATGCAGGTCGGCTATCGTCTGTGGTCCGGCGCTGCTCCCGACGCTGCTTATATCCGACACCTTGTCCAGCGAATTCTGTTGGCTAAGCTTGCGATGCTGCTGCTGAAGCTGCTGCTGCTGCTGATGGTGCGGCTGCGACAGCTGCTGCTGCAACATCGACGTGGAATCGATGGACTCGACCAGGGTGTGCTCGGGCGTCACGTCATGGCTCGAGTTCTCGTTCTCGGATGTGAGCAACTGGCAATCGGAACTGGCGCGACGGATGCTGAAACGATAAGCCGAACCTTAATGAAGAGACACTACTGATTTTTCAGTCTTTATCTTTGAGCCAAGTTAATGTTGTGATCTTAGATGATTTTAAAATTAGCTAGATAAAGATGAGATGGAAATATGTAAATTTTTGTTTTAAATATTTCTAGATACAAGATAAAATTATATGGCAACAATCATCTAGATAATAATTTTTAAGATTGCTTATGTAAATATAGTTATAAAAAAATGTAAATTATAAAAGCAATATAAAAATATATGTGCTTATATTTTTTTATTTATAAATCTCACGATCATCATCATGAAATGAGATAATCATCTCTAGATAATTTTATTTAGATAACAGCAAATACTAAAAATTAATTTGCTAGATAATAATTTTTCAGACTGCTTATGTAAAACAGTTATAAAAAATTTAAATTTTAACGACATAAAAATATGCGTTCATATCAATTTCATGATGATCATGAAATTGACAAATAAATTCAAAAATAAAATGATCATCTAATTTGATTTAGATAACAGCAAACACTGGAAATGACATACCAATTTAAATTCGCAGATTCCAAGGTCTCGGCCTCCAGCAGTTTTGCCGGCAGCAGCTGCTGCTGCTGCTCCGGAAGCTTCAAATGCAAGTGTGACTGATCCAAAAAAGAAGCCTCGTTGTGCAGGTCCTGCATAATCTGCTGTTGCACTTGGGTCTGCATCGGGATTTGCTGCAACTGTAATTGACTTTGGAACGGTTGGCCCTGCATGTGTCGCAACATCGGCTGGTGTTGCTGCGCGGGAAGAGGAGGATTGGCTTGATTGGTCGTGATAAACCACTTTCCTTGAGCGGAGGTCGGCTGTCCCGTCAAGATGGCCGACTGTATCAACTGCGACTGCAACTCGATCTGCTGCGGGATCGTTAACGGGATCGTTTGCAGCTGAGCAGTCGACTGCACCTGATTCTGATGGATCAGCAGCTGCTGATTCGGGAACGTCTGCTGAAACGTCGGCTGACCCTGATATCCCTGATGCACGATCTGCCCTTGATAATTATGCTGAACGGGCGGCTGAATCTGGCTCAGCTGGCTCGCTTCCGGTTGTATAGGTTGAAAATACTGCTCGGACTGTACCGCGGGTTTGTAGTCGACCAAGGTGGAAGCAACGGCAGCGGCGGTGGCGGTGGCGGTGGCTGCGACAGTCGCCGAATTAGGCACGGCGGTCGGTTGTTCGTGGCTGTTGCTCAGCGGATGAGGCGTCACAGATTTGGATTTCGGATTCGAGAGTATGTTCGCCAGGTTCTGCGCAAGGTCCGGCAGAGTCGAGGACACCTCCTTCGTCTTAATCGTCGCGACCTTGGACGTGGAGACGTCCGGATGCACCTGGAGGGGCACCGGGACGGGTACAGAAGTCGCGCCCAAAGCGTTGTGCTGCACGTTCTGGCTCGAGTGAGCGGCCTGGAGAGTCTGCTGAGCGACCTCCATGCTGAGATTCTGCTGCTGCATCGTCATCGCGCTCGACATATCCTGCGGGACCACCTGGTGTTGCATGTGACTCGCTACGGGTATATTAGCCGCGTTCACGACGGCCTGTCTCTTCTCCTCGGCCAGGTTGGACGACTCCGAGAGCTGGGAATCCATCGAGACGTTCGAGGCAATGGATATGTTCGACGCCCTGCGATTCCGATCGTCGATCGTCGGCTGTATCGGCTGCAGGATCACGTACTGCTGGCCGGGGGCTGCTTGCTGCTGCACCTGCTGCGGCACGAACTGCTGCACCGTCGAGGCTGCACGCTGAGCCTGCTGCAGCTGATGGTCCGCCGCTTGCATGTGGGACTGCATCACGCTCTGCTGCATGGGGATCTGTTGCTGCGGCTGCTGCTGCTGCATCACGACGGCGGCTGGAGACTGCATGATCGTCTGAGCCGGGTACTGCGCCTGCGCTGGAGCTATCCCGTTCGCGTGAAGCGGCGGCAGCGGCTGCTGCAGCTCCTTCTGCGCGTTCACCGGGACAAAGTGCTGCTGCACGCCGCCAGCACTCTGCGCCATCTGTTGTGGCGTCGCTATCGCAGCTCCCTGCTGCACGATGATAGTGTGCTGCTTCGCCTGGCCGATGGTCGTCGTCGTCGTCGTGGTCTGCTGCATGTGTCCCGTCACAGTCTGCACCTGGACGATGCTCTGCTGCAGCCCGATCGACTGCGGCTGCTGCAGGATCTGCTGGACGCCGCTGTCCGTCTGTTCCGCGTTTGTACCCGGGACCATCTCGTTGCTGCCGACTTGCTCGTACAGAGCAACGCTCGCGGCTTCCGGAACGCTCGCGTCCGCGACCGCGTGCTCTTCGTTTTCCGCGACAGGCTGGTTCTGCGACGCGCGACCCGCGCCTTCGTTCGCGACGGACTCCTCCTCGGCCGTGAGGTTCTTCTGCTCGACCACGGGACTCACCAGGAAGCGAGAGATCTTGCGCGCCGGCGCGCTCGGCACCGTCAAGCTGGATATTTCCGCGGTCACGTCGGACGCGTTCGTCGGCTCCTTCGGCGCTCCGAGTTCCTTCAGATCCACCACGTCCTGCTGATGCTCTGGAGATTCCCTCGACTCGCTCGCAGCGTCCTGTTGCAGCACCTGAGTGCCCGGTACCGTTTGAGGACTCTGGTAAGATTTGAAGGCTGAATTACTGGCATCGTTCTGGATGTTGGGATGAGCCTCCACCACCGTTTCCGCGGATGTTGCGGAGGCGATTGTCGTCTCTTGCTGATTGTCCGTAGGATCGCTCGGGATATTCGTAGGTGTCAGGGTGTCGGTGTTCTGCGTCGACGTGGACGATCTCCTAGAGGCCTCCGCCGACGTGTTATTGTTCTCCGCGCCCGTTTGACTGTCGGGGGTCTGAACGACTTGTTGTTGTTGCTTCTCCAAGGTACTGCTGGCGATGTGCGAAATGATCTGATCGATCGGCAATAATTTTGTCGGGGTTGAGGTGTTTGAGGTTTCGTCTCTCTGAAATGACGAATGATCGTGAAAAATACTTGTTGGTAACTTATTAAAAAGAATTTACGATTGTTTCTAGAATTAAAATAAAATGTTAATAATTGTGCATTACGAATGCTGAGAATATTCTCACTATAATAATTATTTTTAGCTTACTTTAGAAACTTTATATAATAGTGTCTTGTAACAAAAAAAATTGTTTAATTTTTAAAAACGTCTACGAGGAGAAGCTATTTTTTTAAAGAAGAGATTCTACAAAAGCACATTTTTCACTCTATCAAAATATAAAATAACGTCTTGACAAATCATGCAGTCTGTAACTTAAAGTTGAATAAACTTTAAAAGTATACGATACAAAATAATATCTTGTTGCCCGATACGTTTAAAATGGTTCTAAATAATAAAAATGTCTTATAGAGCAACAATGCATTTCTATAAAATAAAAATATGTATAGAAATTTGATGTGTAAATCATCACATATTCAATAAATACACATTCAAAGTGGTTTTCAAGGTGTGTATATGTACACACAACACAACACAATATTGTAACAATAATAATATAATCTGTAAAAAAAGAAACATAGAGGTATTACAACATAAATACACAGACTTCTAAAAAAGTTTCGAGATTTGCAAAAAATTTCTCTCTACGCGCAGAAATAAATCTCTCGATTTCTTCAAAATTGACATCATCAATAATAATTATTTCTTCCCTTGCTATAAAATGAATTGGCCGGAGAAAGGAATTTTCTTTTGATCTCAAAGCTTTTTTTGTGCATGTACATAATGTGAACCTATAACAAAACAAAATTATAAATTCTGGGCAAGTGTAAATAAAAACGAGGCAAGCGTCCACGATTTTGTCTACAATTCTGAAATATACAGGGAAAAAACGGAAGAAGGAAACGGTGGGATGTCGATGAACTCACCGAACGGTGTCTACGATGGATTTTGTACGACGATCGGTGGCTGCTTTGACGTGTTAGCGAGCCATGTCTCACCTGCTGCGTCCAAAACCATACACACCAATTATATATGTACACCCCATACATATAAAATATATTGTGTTCAACACACAAATCCTCCTACACTATCTCCTACATTACATATTGAATCTCATAATCTGATGCTTTGAATTGAAAAAATCGATTCGAAGAAAAAAAAAAATAATAATTGCACTATCTGCAATCATTATTTAGATGTACGTTTGTGGATGCACATTTAAAAACTGCACATGAAAGTTTTATATAAAACGCCTAGTAAAAGAGCGCCTAGAGGAAGATAAAGATGTTAATCGCAGAATTCTGAAAATATTCTTTTTACGTCGAACCTTTAGTAACAAATTTATTAGTTTACTTTTGTGGTTAAAAAAATGATACCTTAGCTGTATCGAGACTGTGGTCGCGATCCCGAGGACGTCGACTCGTAACTGGACTGCCACCCGCGGATTGATCAGGTGGACCGTGAGCTACCAAAGGTAGGCTACGCGTAGGATCCAAACGTAGTTGCTTGACGATGTCTTCGATTAATTCTACGAAGGTCTCGCATTGAGACTGTGGCAATAGATTTTCCGCAACCTGAGAAAAGAGAGAAAGATATATATGTATATAAGGTGTCATTTTATCGGACATCTGGTGCTAGACTTTTTCCAAGGGTGCTTCTCAAGGTCATTTAAAAGTCATTTTTTTAATGGAACTATTATATTTTTTATTTATGTAAATCGATTCTTCGCAACCTTCAGTATAAAAAGTTATAAGAGTAAGGTGACCAAAAAATGAATAGCTTACAAGATAATTTTATATTTAAATTTGACATAATTTTACGTAAACCATAAAATATCTCGTAAACTATTCACTTTTTGGCCATCTTACCCTTACAACTTTTTATAATAAATATTGCGAGAATTCGATGTATACAAAACAAATATATTGATTCCATTAAAGGAAAAATGACCTTGAAAAGCGCTTTTAAAGAAGAAATCAATAGTATTTATTATCTTCTGTTCCCCTTCAAATTAAACCACTTTGGTTTAAAACACTTTGTTGTACAATCAAAAATAAAAAAAATGTTGGGAGGATTAAAACGGAATACTCTATACGAGATAAAATACCTCTAGCAGAATGTATAAAATAAATAAAATGCCAAAAAATATATATCCTTACCAAATTATTGGCAATATCCGTAGGTACCATATCATCTCGATCAAACTTGAAAGTGACAGTCTTTTGTTTACTCGTATCTAACTGACATTCCACGGTCATCGATTGTCCCTCGCCACGGCTGACAGACAGGACTGTCAGTTTGATGCACGGCTTCTTGCGTTTCGTTCCTGAACGTTTCACCCGGTTCCTCTCGGAAGTAGCGACGCTTTCCGAATTTTCCGGCGTAACTCTGGAGAAATAAAACAATCGATTAAATTTACCGCAAACCACTTTTCGCTCTTCCATTTAATCTTTTCCGGCTCACCCGTCACTCAACGCTACAGGCTGTTGCGCAACGTTGGTCGCAACCGGAGCGGACGTTGCGACAATTTGCTCCTGATTGATCGGTACATCCGGTGGCAGAGACTGTATCGAATCCATCGTGTCCTGTTTCACCAATAGCGACCTGTCGTTCGCATTGGGAGGACATTGTTCCGTATTGGAGAGAAACAGCTGATGCGGTTGCGGTTGCTGCTGCAGATTCGTGGACGATTGTGCCGGGACACTCGCGACGTTAGGTGTCATCGAGATAGAGTTGGGCATGACATTTGTGCTTTGGGAATATTGCATCTGTACGAGAATGTTTTGCTGAGACTGAGGCTGATTGCCGAGTAATGGAGGCGCGTTCTGCATATTGGGAATTGTCGAAGTCTGTGCATTTGGCATGTGAGTCACAGCTGACGAGTTGTTGACGTTTATGGCCGACGGTATGGGCGCCTGAACTTGGCCCGATTGTATGTATTGCGACTGCGACGACGGTGCGGGGATTGCGGCGGGTAGACTCGCGTGAGAATAAATTTGCGTGGCGGTTTGGGTGGACGACAGGATCTCCACGTGGCCGGAAGGATTGGTGGATGTGGTGTACGTGTGAAAGATTTGCTGTGGCATGGTCTGCTGATACAGAGAACCCGCCGATACGTATCCCGAAGCGGCGCCGGTGGAGTTTTGCTGATAGTATTGCTGATTCTGAACGGGCTGCGAGCCGACGGAGTGCTGATGCAGCTGCTGAACGTGCTGGATCTGCGGCTGTGTCGCGTATTGCTGTTGCTGCGGTTGTAGCTGCTGGTGCATCGCGTGTTGCTGCTGCGACAGCATCTGTATCTGGGGCTGCATCTGTTGCTGCATCTGATGGGGGATCTGTTGCGGGACGCTCATTTGATTCAATTGTATGTATTGCTGTTGTACGTGTTGCTGTTGCTGCTGTTGCTGCATCTGCTGCGGTACTTGAGGAAACTGAGGCTGGCCCTGAACGTTCTGCGGAGTCGAGCATTGCGGAGAATTTGCATTCAAACTCTGCGGAACATGCTGAGCGTATTGAGGTTGCTGCTGCTGATATTGCTGTTGTATTTGCTGCTGATACTGTATCTGCTGCGCCTGCTGAGGTTGCACAACCGAGGTTTGCTGTTGTATTATCGGTTGCTGTTGGACCAACTGAACCTGCTGCGGCTGTAGATTATGTTGTTGAGTCTGTTGACTAGTCGACTGTAGTTGCTGTTGTTGAATGGGCATTTGAGTCTGTTGTAACTGTATCGGGACTTGATTTTGCATCTGCATGCCGATATTGGATTGAATCTGTTGTTGTTGCTGCTGCTGTTGTTGCTGTAACTGCATCTGCTGAAGCAACAATTGTTGCTGTAATAAATTTTCCGAGTTTGCGGCAGCGTTAGTCGCGGCATCTGTGGCTGTAGCGGTTTCTCTGTCCAAACGTTCCTTCTCTTCTTTAGCTTTACGTTCCTCCCTCTCTCTCAACAGGGTTGTAATCTGCGACTTCAACATTTTGGCCACCGCTTTAGCATCCTCCTCCAATATGAGGCTGGATTTCGCCATCTCTAGCGCTACCTCTTCCGCGTTGTCAGCCTGTATATCAAAGTCGAATTGTATCGCCTCGTTTTCCTTGTGCTTGTTACTACGTTTCTTAGGATCCAGCACGCGCAATCTAAATTCGACACGAGACAGTTCAGTGTCCGCGACCGCCGAGTCCCGCGATACCATTTCCAATTTCAATCCGACATCATCGGCAAAGAATTCGTGATTGAGCAAATCCTTAACGAGCGGTCGTTCCTCCTTCTTCAAACGTATACACATTTCTATGATATCACGCACCTCTGGGTTCTCAACTTTATCATAACTTTGCGGTTTCACGCCCTATAATATAATAGTAATAAATTAAAATTTGTCACTCAAAATTATATATTATTTTGCTACACGCTAGATTATATTTACGATTTAAAAACATAAACTTTATCTTTCCTATAGGCATGTCCGAATATTATTATTATTAAAATACTAAAAATTGCCTTGAGAAACCGATCAAATTGACAAATACATACAGAGACAGATACACTTACCGATACTACGCGTTTGTATATTTGTGCTGGTCCTGTACACTCGGAATATGGATATTCACTAGTAGCCATTTCGAGCATACACATACCAAAGGCGTAAACGTCAACCGACTCGTCGTAATGTTCCTCGTACATTTCAGGTGCCATAAATTCCGGCGTGCCGATAACGCTCTTTGCAAAACTGCGATTTTTCAATGTCGCGAGACCTAGATCACCAATTTTCACACTTCCCGTTGTGCCAGTGATAAAAATATTGTCGCATTTTAAATCACGATGGATAATAGGCGGTGATCTAGAATGAAGAAAGCTCAGACCCTTCAAGATTTGTCGACACCAAGATTTTACTACTTTGGGATTTATCTTCTTAAACCTCCTCAGATACCTGTTATAACACAGAATTAATTTTAAAATATGTCTCGTACAATAATTACACATTTTATAAATTTACATTTGAAAAAACTTACGTTTTTAATGTTCCTGATGTCATAAGTTCAGTGACTAGTACAATATATTTTCTACGAGTAAGTGTAACCTCCCAATAATCGTAAAATCTTACAATATTCGGGTGTTGTAATCCCTTTAACATTTCAGCTTCTTCTCTAAATCGCAATCTTTCTGTTTTATTCAGTTTTTTCTCTCCTATAAAATATAGAAAATAAACATCTTCTCTTCAATTATATGCAATATATAATATTCTATCATAAATAAACGTATATTTATTTTTTTTAATTAATACAAGTTGAATAAAATGTTATATTATATAGCTATTTATCCTGTATGTATATATATATATATATATATATATATATATATATAAATTACGATATTTCTGTTTTATTCAATTAATCTCTATAAAAAATAGAAATTAAATATTCTTATATTTAATTTTTAAAATTAATTCAAATCAAATAAAATAATGTTAAATTATAGCTATTTATTTATGTGTAATATCATCTAAATTGCAACTATTTCATTCAATTTTTTTCCCTATAAAAATGAAAACTAAATACTCTCTCTTCAATTATATGCAATATAATTTTCTATTATAAATATAGTATGTATTCAATTTTTAAAACCAATACGAGTCAAATAAAATAATATCATACATAAACAATGTCATTTATCTGTATGTATTAACCATCGCACTGACCTGCAATTCGCACCAAGCTACAGCTACCCCCGTTTGGGTATCTAAGCCACGATAAACAGTCTTGAAACTACCACGACCAATTTCCTCTTCGAACTTCAGGAATCTTCCGTCCGGCGAGATGCCCACAGCCTTCTCCTCGTCGTCGTCGTCCTCCACAGTTTGCACTTTCACTTTCATCAACAAATTCTGTACCTCCTCCATCGCCATAGTCTTTTGCGACAGCTTTTCATCCGCTTTGAAGTTCTCATCGAGTAACGGACCAATGAAGCCCTCCACCGTTTCTTCCTGGGCGACCAAATCCTTCTCAGGATGCTGCCTCATCTTCGCCTTCTCGTCCCGCAGATCCGCACTCTGCGTCCCTTCCTCCATCTCCGTGTCCAACGGCGGAACCTTGCCCAGTTTACTCAATGACTCGTGCAGCGCCTGAGCAGCTACTATATCGCTGATACTGGTGCCATCGTCGTCGTATATCGTCACCCGTTCCTCCTCCTCTTCCTTCTCCACGTCCGTCGTCTTGTTGTCTGCTTCAGCTTCTTCCAATACCTTCGACGTTACAAACCTTGAGCTCTTAATTATTTCCTCACTTGGACCCGCATTATTTTCCAGCTCTTTCTTATCGCTGTTCAATTCTTTATCGGCACCGTCATCGCAGCCATCCGTATACTCGATAGACTTCCCCCTCTTCGTTTGTTTATCCTTGCTATCTGTGGAATTCATTTCCGGATCCACCGATATCGCAGTGTCATCCAAATCCTTTTCCACGTTGATCGCTTCGATGTCCTTACTAGTATGATGTTCAATCATTTTCTCTGTAGAATTTGTATTCTTGCGCTTCAAAACCTTTTGATCGTCTCTAATACTAACGAATTTAGCATTGCTGGCGGAGCCTGACAACAATTTTTGCTTATTATTTGTAGTACTTTCCTGATTGACTCCATGTGACTTAGATTCTACAGGTGATTTTGTTGGTAAAGCATCTTCTTCTTGCTCAAAATCATTTAAAATCAAATGCTGTTGCACATCTGCAGCATTCTCCGACAGATTGTTACATTCTGCATTATTACGTTCCACATTTGCTTCCTCATTTTTGCTGTTGCTCGTCGCCTTCACTTTGTTACTTGGCGTAGAAGGTGTAGAACTAGATCCTGTAATACGATATAGAGATTAATTTTGCTCCTTGTAATTTTGTTGTAACTTATAAAATATATAGTCTTACCTTGCGCCGCATTTTCAATTGCCGCGATTGCTTCTTCGGCATCACTAAAACTACGATCATTTTCATGATCTAAGGATAATGAGTTTACGCTTTGGGCAGATGACCTATCGGGCAGATGCAGAACAGATAATACTTTCTTTTTGGAAGATGGCAAATTGCTCGCAAGACCGTTACTAGTTATAGATAAAGAATCAGCATTCTGTTCGTGTCTCTGCGCTCGTATTTGCTTTTTGGAGATACTAGTAGAGCGATTTACATTTGATAATACCTATATGAAACAGAGCAACGTCACAATAACATTCTGAGTCACATCACGGCTTATAAAAAATATGTGACGTATTTATCGATCATATTTATACTGTATATATGTATTGACATATATATTGCATATCAGTGTGTCGTCAACTAATTGATACGATCCGACTTACCTTTTTATCACCAGTACTGTTGGCACTAGGACCTGCCTGTACAATAGATAACTTTCTTTGGCGTCTATGATTATGTGCGTGACTGTGAAGCCTTTGAGTTGTGACGACTGTGCAAGTGCCCCCAGTTTCCTGAGAGGCTAAGTGGCCCACTGCCAAACTGATGCCGCTTTGACTGCCACTACCTCCACTGGCCACCAACTTAGGACATAAACTAGACAAACCACCGCCAGTTCCGCCTGAAGAACGTTGCCTGGTATTTGTATCATACCTGCAATTTTATACACGATCATATTTTACATTAATACGACGCAAGATTACACATTATTTCATACAAATTGGATATTTTCTTGATTTTTAAATTTTATGGGAACACATAAAAATTTGAAATTATTTAAAATTTTTTATTATATTAACAATCAGGAAAAATATTTTTTTAAATGAATTATTTTTATAAAAGAATTTAATAAAAAAAAGTACGATATTTTTGCATATCTATAAATACGAAATAATTAAAGACAAGTTTCACATAAATTCTTAGATAATAATTATTCTACATAAAAATCTAATTTTTATATCTAAAATATATTTTTATTTCTAAATATAACACATCTATTATTTCAAAATCTGCTAAATATGTATACATATATGCATATTTCTACTTTGTGTAATTTGTGTTATTTGTAAAAGCAATTATATTTTTATGCTAACAGTGATATTAGTGCAAAACAAGCTTATTGTGTAATTGTAATTAGTTAAAAAATATTCTCGATTATCTGAGATTTTATTACATTTTTAATAGCTTTGTGAAAAAAATTTGAAAAGTGTTTTTAAAGAAAAATTCCTAAGGCCATAAGTTTTTCTTTTCTAAAAATACAACTAAGAAAAAGGACATTGTAAGACAAGAATTCAGGAGAAATGACAAAGGACATTGTAAGACAAGAATTCAGGAGAAGTGACCAAGTTTTACTTCACGCCGGGATATCCCTTTGCCTCGCACAGTTGGAGATTGCGAAGGACAAAGAAACAAAAATATATCGGCAGAAAAATTCTCTGAGAATTTCTCAAATTTAATATTACTTGTGCAGGGGGTCCCAATGACAAGAATTCAGGAGAAATGACAAAGTTTTACTTCACGCCGGGATATATCTTTGTCTCGCACAGTTGGAGATTGCGAAGGATAAAGAAACAAAAATATATCGGCAGAAAAATTCTCAGAGTTCTCAATATTCATATTATTTGTGCAGGGTGTCCCATCGGAAATTGCTGGAACGAATCAGCATTTTTTTGCTGCATGCAGTTATTGAGAAAACATAAATTATGTTGAAAAGAGTCTACTATTTTTAATGGATATAAATAAAATCTTTGTATACTAGTTTATTTTATTGAAAAAATAACTGCATGCATTAAAAATGACAACTGATTAGTTTCAGCAATTTCCTATGAGACACTATATGAAAAGATACATCCGATAGCTATTAAATGTTGATTGAAAATTGTTGCTTTTAGGAACAAGTCGATCTGAATTTTGCAATTTACATTGAGATTTTAATTTCAAAATTATTATCCTAGATTATCGAGAATCTATTGTATCAACAGAATCACATAAATGCGAAATTAATAATAGATTTTATATACAAAAGCAGAAACATTCCAACGCATCAAAACGAAACTTCGTCATAAAAAGAAAATGATAAGTGATAATTATAAAACAAAAATATTTAATAATAGAGTGTAACAAATGACAATGTAAGAAGCATGATTTTTGATACAGACATCATTATACCTGTCCTGCCTGCTGTGGCCAGATGAGAGGAATCCACGCACTGTGTTGCCTATAGCTGCTCTCTTTTTAATCTCTCTATCTCTTTCTCTGTGCCCTCCAGATCCAGTGCTCACCTGATGATCCTGACAAGTATTCCTGTCACCCTGCAATAATGCAAGAAAGAATTAATATGACACTGGAAATATTAAAACTTCAAACTGTACTTCTATAATATTTTAATGCTTTGAATCTTTGATATCTTTTTTTAGGATAATATAAAAGTTAGATTAAATATACAGTAAGATTTATCACAAAATAATAAGTATATTTGAAATTATTATTCACATTTATGTGATTATATTTATTTATAATTTATAAAAGTATAATTTGCCAAAAAAATCCCATATATATATAAAATACGAAAATATGTATCCATCTCACCTTTAAGCCGAGAAACTTGATGTTGAAACTAGAATTTGCACTTGTTGGAACTGGACTTAGATCACAGCGAAGTCGCCTGTGGGATTTTTCAACTGTCGGTGGGTCTTCTTCTACATCCAAATGACTTCCAATGAGAAAGCATGTGATTGCGTTAATACAATATCGTCTGTACTAGGTTTATGATTGCTGTTCACTGAACTCACTGTCTTGCTGTCATTGTAGCATCTCGGCATTGCACATAACCAACTTTATTTAAAACTTTACTTCACAAAATTACTTCACCTATTTGTTGCGCCTTTTTCTTAATTCTTTAGTTTTTTGCTCCAATAAAGTTAATAAGAGTCACATTCTCCTTTCTCTCTCTATAGATAAATTGAATTTAAAACTTTTCCGATCAAAAAATTACTTTTCTTTTTAATGAGCAGTCTTTGTTGTCAAATTTAAAATATCCATTGCCATCCGTAGTGTATTTTGGGCTTAGGTTGTATATCTTGCCATACCAACTACCGAATTGCTTGACAAATTTCTAGTTCCCAAACAGCTAAAAGAATCTGCAATCAGAAAAATACAATTTGATCTATAATATAATATATTATTGTGTAAAAAAATTAATATTTTTGCATACTTCAATATTTTCTTTTAACGATGTAAATTAGTAAAAATTATATTTCACTCTTTTTAAGTTAGAGACTGTGTTTCCATTATTTTTGTAGGAGAAATTAATTATTACACTTTAATTTTTCCTAAAAATATCTGGAAACACCTGTTGCGTGAAACTGGATAGAATCTTTGAGATATCTACATGGAATTTTGATACAATTCTTAATTGAAAAATATAATCCAAAATATATAATTAGATAAATATTTAGTGTACAGATATAATTTTTAATTTCTTGTTTTAACAGATCCTCTGCTCTAATCATCAAGATTTATATGTGGCAATATCTTTATGATGTATATATCCTAAATATTAAAATCCAGAGAATGTGTGTATATATAATTGAATTCTGAATAGGCCATAAATATTTTCTTTTGGCATAAATTAGTAAAAATAATATTTCACTCTTTGTAAATTAGAGACTGTATTTCCATTATTTTCACAGGAGAAATTATCACACTTCAATTTTTCCTAAAAATACCTGGAAACACCTGTTGCGTGAAACTTGACAGAATCTTAGGCCATAAATATTTTCTTTTGGCATAAATTAGTAAAAATAATATTTCACTCTTTGTAAATTAGAGACTGTATTTCCATTATTTTCGCAGGAAAAATTATCACACTTCAATTTTTCCTAAAAATACCTGGAAACACCTGTTGCGTGAAACTTGACAGAATCTTAGAGATATCTATATGGAATTTTGACACGATTCTTAATTGAAAAATAATGAATATAATCAAAAATGTATAATTAAAGAAACATTTAGTGTACAAATATAATATTTAATCTCAACGCTTTCCTCTAATCGTCAATTTTTTATATATCATACATATAATCTTAACGACATAAATACACCCTACACATTAAAATCCAGAATAAACACACACACTCGAATCCCAAACAGGACATTAGCCGTAAATCGATTTGTTTTCAAACTATCGACACCATCATCATCATCATCATCATCAATCAAGGAAATGCATTCGGAGGGGGAGAGAAAGGAGAAGAAAGGGAAGGGAAAGACGTGGAAAATATTTCGATCTAGAAAGAGAGAGAGACGGACTAAAGGAATCTGTTGTCAAGCGTATCCTCTCGTGGGATCACTCGAGCCGCTCGCGAGAAAACGTGACGTTCAAAGAGTCACGTATATCGCACACCAACACGTCTCACCAACGTCAATTTAAAAGGGTTGACGCGAGAAGAAATCGCTCGTACGACGTATTGTGCGCTAGAGATTTTTTTATATACCCACACACACATATATATATATATATGTATGTGTGCGAATATACACACACATGCGCGCACGAGATGTTTTGCAAATCGAATAAATGCACACATACACACAAATCCAAGCGCGCACGTAAGCACCGCGAGAGAGAAGGAGCGAAGTAGACAGGAGAAAGATATATATATATATATATATATATATGATGTGACATCTATCCCAAAAATATCGCTCGGATTTTGGCGTCGAGGAGACCGGGGGGGAATATCCTTGTAACACGAGAAATTGGCGCCCCGAGAGACGGAGATGGACGGAGAAACGTCAGCGAGTAACGGGCTCCGTTATTCCCTGACTGACAGGAGCGCGCTTGTCCGAGGGTCCGCGCGAACCTCGTTAAGGTATCCATGTGTCATGTCACGCGGCGGGGGAGGAGAGAAAAAGAGAGAGAGAGACAGACGACGCATTTGGAAAGAGCAGCAAACAGAGAGCACACAGTACCTCTACATACTTTCGGGTACTTTCGCACGGGGGAAGGAACGAGGTAGCGCCGTCGTCCGTGTCCGCACTCCTCGTATTCCCGGATCTACCCTCGTCGGGGACATACTAGGCTCGCGCGGCATCGAGACACGCGTTAAAGAGGACACGGCAGCCGGTCGTCGTGCGCTACTCACTCATTCGTGGTCGCAGAGACGGAACTCGCTCCCCGACTACACCCAAATAACCACCATTTTTTTCACTGAACGCTACGCACTCTCACGGTGCTATGCGCAAAACGCGTGTATATATATATATATATATATGTGTGTATGTATATGATGATGCACGTATGCACGTTGATGTATGTACACGTACACGTTAATCGCGACGTAGTGTGCACGCACGTATGCGGATATATGTGTGGTTATACTTCGGCGAAGACGTACTTCGTAAAGCCTCGTGCGCACGTGGTCGCCGGACAGCGCTCTTGTCCACGGATGACGAATGACTGGAGCGAAACAAGGCCGTGGAACGCGGAGTGTCACGTGAGAGGGTAGAGTAGGGGGAGCGCGACGCGACAGCCAATCGCGTGGCTCGACGTCCTTGGGTGATGGAGATACGTCGGACCAAGCGGAGAGCCGCGTCTGGAACTGACAGCTCGGCCGAGCCGAGCTGTCAATCGCGCGTTACATTTTAGAACTAACTTGTCATCATGGTTACTTTTTTAATCACGTGACATTACCGCAGTGCTCTGAATTTCAACAGAGAGAAACCTGGGTATCGATTCTGTAACTTTTTTTCTAAAGTGAAAACGTGAAAAGTGAAAAATTTCCACCAATCGCATATCGATTTTATTTTAAATTCAATTTAAATAATATTTAAATTCAGTCATGTTATAATATCATCAATCAAACATCTTCGATTAAATTTATTTAAATTTTATTAATCGTTACACATAGTTAATTAATGGAAATAGAGAAATTATATCGATTTTCTTAAGTCAACCATTAATGGAAGAGATTCGCATTAAATTTGCTATATTTAATCGTCAATTATATACTTTTTAATTGTTTTTGCTCAAATCAATTGTCAATTGGATTGTCTTCGATTGAATCTGTTTTTTTTCAATCGTCCATTAAAGTACTTCTAATTAAAATTAACTCATATTAATCGTTTAATTGAAAAACTTTCAATTAAATTAGCTTGTATATTAATCGTTTAATCGATCGCTCTCTGATTAATTTCGTTTATATCAATTGTCAATTAAATAACCTTCAATTGACTTTGATCATATTAATCGTTAATTAAGCGATCTTCGATTAATCTAGCTTATATCAATTGTCATTGTAACGATCTCTAATTAATCTTTCTAAAATCGTCAATTCAAAATATTTTAATTACAGTTGATTACATCCGTTTGTAATTAAATGTCATAATTAATTTAAAAAGTAATTAATTAATCAGCATCTCTGCTAGGCGTATAATCGGTCACATTAATGATCGCTCGATAGACTTAAATTCCTCATCGAGGCCTTCCTGTCAAGGCCCCTACAAAATAAGCGGCGAAAGTTTTTTCGCATAACCTCGATGCACGATTGGTGCATCGTTACATTGCATACAGGATCAATTCGATTGCATATCACTTAAGACATTAATAATTATAAATTTGTTTACTTTATTAGGCTCACCATGCACTTTTATTTTGATCGCTTCATGCGACTTTTGTATCCACTGTAAGTAGAAATGTAACATGATCACTATATTATCTACAAGAGATGGCGACGTTGTAAGTTTTCTTCCTGGGGATCGATTGTCTATTTGTGTCGATTTTTCTCACTTTTCGCACATTCATTTCACGTGAAGAAATACACACGATTGGCTATGAGCAAGATGAAAATACGATATCCCTAGATTCACGGGAGCACAAACCATAGTGAACATTCCGTAAAGCGTATATGCATGCATATATGTTTCAGTGATACCTTTATCTTTATAACCTCTGCAGTTTGAACGGTGTGAATAAGAATGAATATTACAGAGAAACAAAAAGAAATTATGTTAAATTTTATGAATAAACATTCGGATTTCGGTCGGGGGCGGATAAATTTTTGAACATGCTTGAATAAAATTGACGCGACGTGTTATGAGAATTGATATAAAACAATACATTAATAAAAAAGTAGTGTTTAAAAATCTTTTATTATAAAGTTAAGAAATGTACTGTGATAATCTTAATTATTAATTTATTATAAGATTATGAAATGTACTAATTTTATGTGATACAATTTATGTGATAAATATATATATATAAATATATATATATATATCCTATTCAAAATACCATCGCACAATATTTCTTAATTCGTACTTCTTCTGCTTGCATTATATTTATATCATTAAATGGTATCGGCACTTCTCCTTCTTCCTCCAAATATACTTCATTTAATGGAATTCTCCATTTATAAGCAATGTTATGTAAAACAACATGCATTTACAATTAGAGCTGTAAAGAATAGATTTAAAAAATACCTTTTCTTATCTCAATTATGCACTATAATTATTTACATACCAGCAAATTCTGGTGTATAATGTAATGTCCTCTCTTTTAATACGTATTTTAATACGTATTTTAATACGTATTTTAATACGTATTTTAATCGCGCTCTACATAACATATAATGCAGTAGGATATACGACACATTTTGACATTATTCGACACAATAATTCTTGTCGAATAATCTCACGTGAAATATTTCGTGTTTTCACTATAATGAAAATTAGCCAATCAAGTGAATGCTCACTTTTGTCATTTTCACTAGGTTTTGAGATACACAATCGACCCCCTGGAGTTGTATCATTGTACGTTGACAGATTCAATTCAACATTCTTGATGCAAAATGGGTGTGAAGGATTTATGGAATATTTTATCGCCTTTATGCGAGAGAAAATCGCTGTACGAGCTGCAGGGAAAGACGATTGCGATTACAAACTAGGATGTATCTCAGGTAAATTCATATTCATATAATTTCTTAGAT